CAATACTGTTTCATATTTATTAAAATCTGATATAAACCAATTTGCAATGCGACGTTTTATTCTTTAGATTTCATCATCAACTTCTTTTTTTTTTAATACAGACCTCTAGTTTTATCTTCGATTTTTGTAGCCACTGTCATATCAAATCAAAGAGAAGCCAAGAAAATGGCTTCGAAGTTGAAACCGAAACATCCAACATCTGAAACCCGTTTGAAAATGTCCTTATAGGACGAAACTGCAGAAACGTTAGTTACAAATTCAAGTAGAATAAAAACATAGGAAGTTTCGTCTCTCATTTTTCACGATAAATAATTTATTTTTAAATTCATTTCACTTTTTTCATTCAATTTTTCCAAGATCGCTTGTGATCGAATCATTTCGTTGTTGTGGATAGGGACAAATGTAAATGCAATGTCAGATTATTGTATCACAATTTTGAAGAATACTCGATGTTAAATTGAAATTGAAACGTATATCGTCCACATTCAATGAAAAATAATACCGCTTCTGTATCAAATTTTTGTCGGCGAAGCGATGGACCTCTTATCCAATCTTTTAAAGAAGCGTTAAGTGCGTTATATACACAAAAAATAGAAGTATTGAATCCTCTACAAAAAAATGTCTTCAAATAATATGTGATAACTATCATTTTATTAGCACTTCTCCACATCTGTCAGTCCGGCGAGCAATTTACTTTATTTTGAAGTGAAATTGACAGATGGAACTTTCCGACTGGGCGCCATGTGGGAAAAAAATTAAATAGAAATGGGGGTCTTGTAACACATCATTTTGAAGCTCCTGACGAATACTTCACAACCCTAGAATATGAACTCAATATCTTCACCTACTACAAAATGACGGAACATTTAATAATTTCCTGAACTCAAACAAATATTCCTTTTTATCTGCCATATGGCAGTTCCGACAACCCGATAAGATTTATTAAGTTATTTTTTGTTTATAAAAACGACAAAAAATATCAGTACGACAATGAACATCATTGCTCAGTTATAATATTCTCATTTAGTTTTCGATTTTATTAGTAGAAAGGTACCACGTCAACAATCTCTAAAATGGTCAATTCTCGTCTATTGGAAGAAAAAATTGAAGCGATTTTTATTTACGGTGCGACGCGTAACTTTAACGAGACCGAAAGGATTTTCAATGAACATTTTCCGAATCGTCCTATCTGTAGAAAATATTTGAGGAAACTTGTATCCAAATTCACAACTACCGGTAGTGTACATAACAAAAAGCCCCCAGGTCATCCGTCCATTCCGGAACAACAGCAAGTGCAAATAATTGGTGAGATGGTAGTAAATCCTGAACAGTCTACTTATTCCGTCACGAAAGTTTGTGAGGTGTCTCCTTCTACTGTGTGGAGACTTTTGAAGAGGAGTAAGTATCATCCATACAAAATTAAAATGGTACACCAATTAACTGAAGATGACCCTGATCGAAGAACATAATTCTGCGAAATCATGACGGAAACCATTGCAAGGCATCCTAACTATCTCCACAATATTTGTTTTAGTGACGAATGTACATTTTTATAAACGGCAGTGTTCACAGACAAAATTGCCGTTATTGAAGTGACATCAACCCTCACGTTTTCCGGGAAATACATACCCAATATCCAGAAAAATTTAACGTTTGAGCAGGAATATTGGGAAACTATATTGTAGGACCTCTGTAAACTACTGTTGACTTTCTCATCACTGAAATCATCGAAGTGAATTCCAATGAATTCGATATGGATATTGTATTCCAACAAGATGGAGCACCACCAAATTACTCCAGACAAGTAAGAAACTATTTGGATACTACTTTTCCCAGTTGGATTGGCCGTCGAGGTCCTACAGAATGTCCAGCCCGCTCGCCAGATTTGACACCTTTGGACTTTTTTATGGGGCTATTTGTAGCAAAAGGTGTACGAAACTGAACCTGCTTCAATATTGGATATACGGCAGAAAATAATAAATATTTGTAGAGATATTGACGTTACTGTGTTCGAAAATGTTCGGCCTGAAATATCGGATAGGTTGTTCATATGTTGAGAAGTTCCAGACAATAATTTCGAGCATTTTCTGAACTGACCTCAAGCTTATTTCCTCATATTATATAGTTAAATGTCAATGTATTCAGGCAATTATTAAAAGTTCCGCCATTTTGTAGTTGTTGAAGATATTGACATTATATTCTAAGGTTGTGAAGCATTTGTCGGGAGCTTCAAGAAGATGTGTCACAAGACCCCCCTTTCTATTTAATTTTTTTTCAGATGGCGCCCAATCCCAATCTTGAAAGTTTCATCTGTCAATTTCACTTCAAAATAAAGTATTCATGCATTAATTTCATTATCCCAAATTTCAATTTTTTTGGGTTGACCCGTTCAAAAATGAAAGGGGGGGCATTAAAGAAATCCACGTTACAATACAAAAAGAGTTGTAGAAAATATGTATCTTTGGGGAACATCAGCGTGGATTGAAAATGAATTCCAGAGTGAACCATCGATGATCACTTGTAAGGAATCTTTGAGAAAGCTAAAAAAGCTATGAACAAACATCATCCAATGAGCTATAACACCGAAGGTTAGTTGATAAACTCTTATCCAGATATTACTCTACTGTACTACTCTAAACCTGCCAAATTTGACATTTTTTCGAAAATCCCCAAAAAACCAGTTTTTTGGAAATTTTTTGAATTGCTAAAAATTTGGACTCTCTACTGTCACTTCCACGTTTTTCCAATTTTTTTAATTTTTCGAATCTTTTGCTCTATCGATTCAAACGAAACATACAAATTTCATAATTTTGATAAATACGAAACTTCAATGTCATATTTCGCCCAGAAAATACACGCATTGGTCTGCTACCAAAAAAAAAAACTCACCTCCAGAAATTGGTCTTTGTTGTTGCAGAGTTCATATAGTTTTTCCATTTCATTGTTAAACTGATTCGAATTTTCAATGTATGGACGTTAATATATCAGAAATCGAATAAACATATTTCTCATATTCTTATTATACTCTCATTCCTTTTTTTAATAGATTTTTATCCAGTTACAAAATTTTGAAGAAAATCTGTTTTATGTTAACCAGCTGTCGCACCCCTACGAACGACACCTCTCAGAAATCGAAACTTGTGCGAGCTAAGGATTCACAAGATCTTACCTTTTAAGAGCTGTTGTGTAATGTGTTTTTGATCCTCTAAGGATTATTTTCGTTTCGGCAAAGTTTCATTTTCTGGTGATGTTTGGAGTTTAGAACCAGACTGATTTTTTCCGAATTCTGTGTCTCAATTCACAGGGATGGATGATACCATTTACCTGGGTTGCTGCCACTACCTTGCTTGCTCGACCATCTGATTTGGCCCGATTACCTGTGATAGGACCTTTGCGCGTCTCCCCTCTTGTTTATACTACTAAGTCTTTTTTCAATTTCGATAGCATCTTTGATTGTTCGAGAGTAGAAGTTTTTATTGTTTGCTAGTGTTTTCGTGTTCTCGAAATTGATGTTGTGTTCTGTCGCCAATAAGTCTTGGGAGAAAGAAGACGTGATGACTTTTCCCCTCACTGCTGATTTGTGTTCATTTTTGCGTATGTTGATTTGCTTGTTGATCTGGCCGATGTAAGTCTTGACACGGTATTTCGTAAACTCTTTGAGGCCCCAGTGGTACCTGGATTACGGAGCATGTACCTTATTATACGTTCTGGTACGAATGATGATGCTATATTGTGTTGGCGTAGAATTCTGCTGATTTTGTCAATGGTTCCTTCAATATATGGTAGTATGGTTGTTATGACCGATGTATCTCGGGTTTTCTGCGGTTTCTGTGTGACCTTGAAAGCCGCTTTTATAATTTTCTCTGGGTAGTCATGCATTCGTAGAGTTGTCTCGATGGAGTTCAATTCTTGTTGTCTGTGTTCGTTGTCTGCCAGCCTTCTTGAACATGTAATTAGTATTTTTGCCAATGAGTGGATTTGTTTTAGGTCTTGGTGTGAATTTGCTTCCAGATATTCATTAGAGTGCGTTGCTTTACGATATACCGTGTAACTAAATTTTGACGAGTCTTCGAAAAGTAACTTCGAGAAATACTTGTGTGATGTATGTATTAAATCGATAAATTCACCCATCTCGTTGTGGAATGTACGAGACCATGGTTGAACATAGCTATCACGCTGAAAAAGAAACCCTCATCCTTGGCTGACGAAGATATATTTCAAAATGAGCATCTTTAAAAATATTTCAATACACGAGATAATTTCTTAAAGTGAATCTCAAAGTGAGTTATTTCTGTCTGATCCAATAGAACAACACTCAAAATGTCAGAAATATACAATAAAGTATAAGGGTGAGAAAGGCCACTACAATAATCAAAATTTTTCATTGATAACTCAAAATAAGTATGAAATAAAAATTCTAGATTTTTTTCTTCTTGTTTTTGAATGTTAAGTAGATCTACAATACCGTGATATTATGTGATGAGACATATTAAGTGTTTGTTCTGGAAATGTAGCAACTTCATAGGGCCATAAAGCATATTTTCGCCAATTGAACTTATTTATATGGAAAGTTCATATTCCAAATTGGACTTCAATCCAACTCTCCATTTAACGAAATTGGCAGATGTTTCCAAAATGTAACGTAGATGAATGTTCTAGGTGCAGCGGACAAGAATAAATTGACCCTCTACTGGTTTCAGGACACACAGGCAACGAAACAACTGATTAGTGTGTCCTACACTTCAACATCTTTGATACGGAAAATATACCCGGAAACACACAAGGGAAAACCTTTATAAAGGGACCGTACCACGAGAGAACTGAAGAACAAACGATAGATCGGCTCAAAATAATTACAAGACTACTTACTGGACACTGTCCATTGAGAGAACACCTAAAGAGAAGAAAGACCTTAGCTGCAGACAATACAAAAATAGACAGAGTCAGGAGGCAAACACTTGACACGAGACAACCCGAATTATGTCCAGGAGAAGGATTTTTATAAGATTGTTGGAATGGAAGTCATAAAAAAGATGTAGAGAAAACTCAGTAAGCCCAAGAAGTTGCAGTGTTTTCCGTAGACTTGTGATGAATGGTGAACAAAATGTAGGAAAATTCCAAATGAAAATGTTTTCATGGAAAACAATCATGTTCATTAACGAGTTTCAAAATTTGTATAAGGGTTCCAACAAATGGAACTGTTATGTTATGGAACTGGGCGTGTTCATACACACTATGAATACGCCTGATGAAGCTACTGTATACCGAAACACGTGTGGCGGCTTTGTGATTATTTTCCTTCAATTGACTGGCCTATTCGACTATTATTCACAGCAACTGATTGAAAGATATATGGTATGGTGTAAGTTGTTTTCAATTAAATAATCATAAGTGCGTAACAATTGGTTGTCTCGTTATTTATTGCTTTATTACATCTTTTCTCCTGTGATCTTTAAGTTACTGCTAGAATTCTAATAAATTGATTACCATTAATTCATTGTAAACACTTCAATCAAAAATATTGTAAATAACAATGTCACATAAATAAATCACTTCGCCACATTCAATGAATATTATTCAATATTACTCTTCCTCTATTTTAAGATTTGAAATCCTCAATGTTCCAGAAAATAAAACTCCGAACTACTGATATTCTTTCAATTAGAAAACTGGCTAACATTAGTTGATGTTTACAACTTCTGCTATCCGTATTCAAACAAATGAAAACAGCGTTTTAAAAATCGTTTTTCAATTATTTCAACGAAAATTATAAGAAATTATTTGAAAAAATATGTGGAATATTTACATATAATCATGTAGATATTCGAATTTTCATTATCAAACCTATCACCAGGTTTGTATTCTTGGAAATTAATAGTGTAAAAACTGTCTTGACAGTAGTTGGTTTATGCCGATTTCAGAACCTCCTACTACCACTTTCAACCTTGAAATGTCTTCTAAATATATCACACGAAGTAGTCAGGGTGACTTTGAGGAGGTGTTTCGAGTTTGACATTGAATGACCTTGACCTACCTCACAGGACGCAGGCAAGGTGACTTTGAGGTAGTGTTTTGGATTTGACCTTGAATAACCTTCATTCACTTACCATATTTTCGGCAAGGTGACTTTGACCTCGAGCCAACCATCCGGCTTTCTTGAGGTTTTAAAGCTACACGATACAACGTAGCCAAGGTGACTTTGAGGTAATGTTGTGTGTTTGACCTTGAATGACCTTAATTTACGTTAAACGACGGAGACAAAATTACTTTAGAGTAGTTGTTCCAGACACCCAGCTTGTGGTTAAGAAGCACTTCCCTCTTCTTCAACCAAGTTCTAAATATGTTCGAAGGATCGCCATTCCACATTCAGATTGAATAACCCAAAGTACTCGAATAAACGAGTGAAAGTAGTGCTGAAAAGTGACAGAGAGTATTACGTCAGGAGTATACTCAGCAATCCAGGTGACCATATTGTATATTTCCATACCATAATTTCACTATATTCGAAATGGTTCATTTGAAATTTAATATCGAAAAGATCAATTCTGCAATAATTCAACGAACTGAGGCTATGGAGCAGAAGCCTTCAATATCTTTTATTATCGATAAAGGTTATAAAATTGAGAAGATGTCGATGCTGTCTACGCGATATGGTAAATCCATTCAAGTAGTTTTGTTGGATATGGGTCAAAGTTCTCAGGATTATCCTTGTGTCAAACCCCGTTCACTATTCAAAGTCGATATTTTAGATTGAATATAACTTCAATATCTTTGTAAATAGTAGAAATATTGTATATTAATGTAAAATATGGATTAGCTCCCGCGCTTCAAACATGATCAAATTTCAAGTGATTGCTTTTTTGCAATATAATTTACAAACTGATGAATGCGTTTTATGTATTTTCAGAGTTCTTTCTCCTTAGAACATGTGGATGTAATATTCAGCCGAAGAGTGACCGGAAGCAGTAAATTTGGATTCTGCAATTAGGAGGTTGGCTTGGGAATTAGCCGACTTGAGTTTTGACGCTCTTCATTCGTCAAACTTTGATTTGAGTATTTGTTATGATGCTGAACAGGTGCGAAAATTTTTGGAGCTCAGCGAGAAGTATGAGCTTGGTGTGGCACTGTGCCATAAATATTCGTACGGAAGCAGAAATTCGGAAGAGTTCTGTGAGCTAATAATTGAAGCAGACATGAAAAATTTCCTTCACGACATATTCGTCTACCTACCACAGAATATCACAGAGTCCCCAAAACCGGAAGAATCTTTGTGAATATTGAAATTTGTTGTATATGTTATTATTAAAATCATGTTTCAATTCATATTTGTCTATATCTAATTGTTTGGTAGATAAAAGACAGATGATAATTACTGAGTGTTTTATTATTTATCAATATCAAATAATCCATGGTGAATTACATGTTGATTGCAATTCAGTCTGAACAGAGCCATCAAGGGCATTATAAGATAAAACAGCATCGTGGAGGATGAGTGCATATACTTTGGTGTTTGCTGGAAACTTCACCTTGCGTGTTTTGAATTCTATTTTGATGTCGACAATAGATGACTTCATAGCATCGGGTTGGTGGGAGCAGTCAATGATGAATTGTGGATTGTTGCGAAAGTTACCAATATCAATCGTCGGCGCACTCATAGCTGCGTTGGAAGTTTTCATATGCATAGTAGGGTGATGAGTCTAACTTCTTGTTAAAATCCAGATTCCAGCGCTCACATGGGTATACTTCCGAGTTTAGAGATAGTAGGATATTATTAATATTCGCAAGTATAAATTTTGTCACAACTTTCGATATATTTTCAGATTGGTCGATGTTTTGAAATCCAATGGTGATATATCGAAGTCTTTCGAGACTGTTGGTTATCTTCACGGCCCATATATCTGAGGAAGTATCACGAAATGTGGGTAGTTCATAGAGGTCCCACATACGATAAGCCATCTTCACTTTTGCATTATTCACATTTTCATTGATGCGGTTCAATATCTTCAGTTTCTGACGGTCTTCCGGCACAATGTGTCTGATTGTCAATATTATTTCAATTTCATCGACTTTCCCAATGAAGGAATTTTTGAATGAGCGTGCAAGATTCAATACCCTTTGGTGTAATCCTCAGCGAAACCAGTGAGATACTTCAAGGGTAATTTACAGCTGGATACATTGCTGACATAATCCAATATATCTTGTTGATTCACATCAAGCCCCCATCCTATCGGTAGTTGCGAATTTGCATGTGTCCAAATGTCATTGGAATTGCGAAGCCTGCTTCTCAAAAGCTTAGAACACTGTTCCGAACCAGAAAACTGTGCACACCTCAGCAACTTTTGATGCTTTATAAATGTCAGATCAGACCTTCTTTGGAGTATTGCTTTCATGTATGGAGATCTGCCTCCAAACAAACCCTAAAGTTGGTGGATTCTATCCAGAAAAGAGTCATCCGCCTGATTGGAGACGCGAACATCACGTGAAACCTTGATAGCCTGGAACATCGAAGAAGGGTTGGAGATTTGTCTCTCTTTTATATATACTTCCACAAGAAGTATTCAATTGACTTGGCACATTTGATTCCACCAAGAGCGTACATATCTTGAATACGCGACGGACTGTTGCTGCTCATCGTCTTAAGGTTCAACTCAGTATACCTCAAACTTCACTGTTCAAGAACTTTTCCATCTGGAGAGCTGCGTTCATGTGTAATAAACTTCCTGAACGTTTTTCCAAATGGATTTAATCTCCAGCGATTCAAATCAAATGTGAATCGCTACTTTCGCACAGTCACCGCTCTGAGAGTGCCTTAAGGATTTTTCTGTAGTGCTCCAGAATGGACCTGTTCAAATCTGCACGTGTTTTTCCATTAGGAATGAACCACAACTCTTGCAGCACATGAAAATTTCTGCGACCAAACTTATCGATGCTTCCTCTACTCATTTTTATGATACACTCATGACGGTCTTCGATGTTGTGAATCAACATATGAGAAATGATGATTGTTATAGCTTTATCAATTCCAATTCAACTATTATTTTTTCACCATTAAAATTGATCAGATTACTATTATCATCCAATATGCGAAGAGTGATATTGTCGAGGTACTGACGACCGCCAGGCTGGATTGGCATGTAAATAATATTTTTACATCGATATCAAATTCAAAGATGCTATGGATTTCATCACCATTTGAATATGCTTCAGCTGTGACATTACAATTCACATGAATATTTCTCACCTTATTGATATTTACGTATAATGTTGATTCATGAAATTCATCGATGCCAAACACATTGGCTTCGAACCCTGAAAGTTCGGCAATAGTGATTTCATGTTTGGGGTGGATGTAATATTTTGACCGCATTGCACACTTCAGAGTGTTGTTTGCATGTAGGAGAAATACTTCTTCGATATTCTCCTCAGCTCCATCTCCCAATTGCATTTCTTTGGATTCGATGAATTTTTGAAACACCTTATTGATTATATCAATTTTATATGCTCCAGGTGGAATTTTATAATGGGCGGAGGTGAGTTAGCTTCTTTAGATCACGCGATAACATTATTTTTCACATACACATTAAAAATGGAGTTGTAGGAATATAAACGGTGTAAGCCCAGACCGTAATTAGTGCCAATACTCATTTCGATGGGTGGGTAGAAGTTGGCGCTCAATTCGCTAGAGTGAGTGAGTCAGTTACTCACAGACGATCTAACTATACACAATAGATAAATTTGGGCGAAGGAGAGGTGGTGTTAGTAAACCACTTGTTGGAAAATAGGGTGGTGTATTCATTCTCACAAAGCATGGTGATTAATGACATTCAGAATAAGTGGTTGCAGAATGTTGGTGAAACTGTAGACAGTAAAGACTCTGTCACTAAAAGATATGTTGGGGATCATGTGAGCAGCCTTACTATAGTTTGGTGTTTTGGACACTTACCATAGGTAGGGAATGAGCCACCTCGTCAACCTGATTTTATGCAATGACAAACTGTCCAGCGGTTTCGTGATGTAGAAATTGAAAATTATTTCATTAAATGTCTATTCTATTGAGTTGGCCGAATTTCTTTCACAATATTTCAATATTCAACCAATTT